ATAACCACTTGAGCCACTTCGTCCCAGCCACTTCGCCAAAATCATACTCTCGCTAGTAGATTTTAAGAGAGATCTCCGGAGCTTGAAACCATTTCCCACTGGCTCAGAGAGCCACTGCAATACTATATACTAGAAAACATGCTTGATTGCCAATCGAGTTTTGCTAGGGTACAGAGATTTCACAAAGTTCAGCGAAAGAAAGAGCACCTGAAATGACAGAAGTTGGTCAAATTTCTGCTCAGACAAGAGGCTACGAGTGCATCTCTCAGTCCTCCGACGGTCGATTGAGCTTTCTCCTCAAATTTTGTTCAAACGTCGCCCCTGATTTGGGCGTCTCCTGAAGCCTATGTAGCCCATAGCCCAATTTGTCCCCCCAATATCATCGCCAATATCTCAGCCTTTCTGGTTTGAGTCTTAGATTTTTATCGGGATCTCTTTCTAGCGACCCTTCCTGCAAACGGTTCGCCATCCCGAAAGCTTCATTTCAGTCACCGGCCGAAAAAGTGCAGCTCATCACGCCCGTATTTCTGGTTTTCAAATTTTAGAAGATGCAGTACTTTTATCGTTAAATTCAGGATGCTTAACCCACTTAGGGCCAGTTGCATGCTGAAACCTGAATTTTAAAAATATTCACGTAACCGTACCCATACCTGATCCAATAATACCTATAAAAATGAGGAATGTTTACCGCAAGCCGAAAGACACTGTAAAAGAGCGAATAAAAATAAACTTAAAACAATACATTCATATGAACGTTAACTGGATTTTCACAGAAAACTCAACAGAATCTCTCATTCGTGAGTTCAAATGCCAGCGACATCCGAAAAGATGAAGACGCTACAAAGCACCAGCTACTGAATTGGCACCTCCCTTTCAATAAAGGAAATGGCATCTATATGTCATTCGAAGAAGACTTACCGAAAACCCTTGTGGTGTATTGTAAGAACGGAAGAGAAGACATCACGACGTTGGAAGCCAAAAGGATCCGGGTAACCGGCTCACTTCAAACATATCCTTCTCCAGGCGCCGTAAGAAATCGGCTCAAATGCCTCCGAGGAGATATAATACCTACTTATGCCGTGTATAAACAAGGTCTAACGAACAGGTTTTTCACCATTGGTCCAGTTAACACACTTCGAGGACATGGCAGGAAGAGCTTTAATCTCAGTTCGAATTTATCCGGCAAATTTTTGACTCATTTCGGGTGGTTACTGTGTGGAATCACCTTACTCCAATGGCTGTCCACCCTTAACTAGTAGCCAGTTCAAATCACTACCAGCCGCTTTTTATGCGGGTCCTCGCTCTGCTAAGCTTAGAGTCCCGAGCTAAGATCCCAAAAATGAGTGATACGCCCTATTTTCGCTTGTGATGTTCAAATGAACATCAGCCGCTGAACGAAAAAATAAAACCTACGAAACTAATGCAAAGATCCACATCCTGTGTAACAATCCGTGAATCCGTGTTATGTTTTGTGGCTCATATAACACGGCGATCATAAATAAGCCGCATGCCATATATCTAGCTCAGTAGAAGTCTTATAAGGAGACAAGCTTCAACCTGTTCACCGTGTGCTCGTATTTGTTCAAAGCAAAGTATAGCCTCTGAGCATCTGAAATGGGCCGAAAGACTACGGCGAAATTCATACCTGAACCGATCGTAGCCTCAGCACTATCGGTGGTAACATAGTATTACCGGTGTCTCATGGACATCAAGGATTCATTTCCTGCCATTACTCAGAATCCTTGGCGCCTTTCTAATTTCGGGTGACAGCTGTCAATTTGCCATCTATTGCACAAAAAAATCAGGTCGTCCGGAAGCCCTAATTGAACATTAAATCACCCCGGATACCGCACCATACTTGTTTACAACCGGCGGCTAATTTACTGGCACTATATGCAGCTAAAATTTTAGCAGCCACCATCTCCGATTTTCTAGGTTAATGGCCTTGTTGATGCTAATGTAATCTCGCATTTATCGAAATTGCTCAAGGTTATATCGATGAACACTGCAGGCTGTGTGTACACGAATATCAACCGCCGATCCGCAGTGCTTACAACCCATTATCGGTTTCAACCTGGGCAGCTGTTGGCTTGGTTCCGAATTTCATTTCCAAATAGCCCTTATATTTTTTCATTGAAAAGAGTAAGCTTATATTTGAGTGGATGCATTCTGCCACCAGCTATATGGATTCCCGCGACGGACGCCACCTTTCTGGTTGTTGTTATATTCATATGATACAGGATTGGAGGAGTGTTTTCTAGATAATGGGAAACAAAAGAATCATTGCTGACTGGTGCGAGGACATGAATGCCAAGTTGTTGGCTGCTCAGACGGAGTGGTAAGCTCAAAGTCTTTCGTAGGGGTGGCGAAGACTGTGTGGCTTTCGTCTTAATCTTCCATGGATTCAAATATAGGTACACAGGCTCAAGGTTTTCACTCAATCTTCCCGAGTAGGGGTTGTTGTTGTCGTACAGCACCTTCCGTTCACCTGAAAGTCATAAACGAATGAATAACAATGCACCGCTCTTTAATGTTTCAGCGCTGGACACTAAAATTGTCACCGAAATGAATCACATGAAAAAGGATGTCGAAGTTATTGGAATGGGATCTAGGTACAGCGTCAAGAGGGGAGATCGGATGCGAAAGCTCCCAGAAATGGGAAAATTGTTGTGTGATGAAACTGCGTTACCTGATCCTCAAAACCAAACCATATCGTCTCCGTGTATTGCTGTGATAAACACCGAAAAATCTATCTGCCATTCCTAATTCAGACAGAGTGTAAGCGTCCGTGGGTTCCCTCAGGGGAGATGATAACCCAGGGGAAAAATTCAAGCATCCAGACGTTCCATCCATAATCATCGGATTGATAGCAAGCAACCGTCTACGTACCAGTAGTAGAACACGCTCAATGAGGATTAGGTTCTTCTTGCGTCCTGAGTAGATCAGTTGGTTGGTGTGGACAAGAAACGGTGTGACGTCGACACCGTAGTATATCTGGAAATCCAAGCAAGTAAAACGGAGGAAGAATGGCCTAACTAGGAACTCCAGGATTTCAAGTCATTTGCACTAGGTAGACGTGGACTTAAAAGAATAGCTAGAAGTTGTTAACAAAGCCCAAGAACAGGAGTGGTCCCAAAACGGTATCTTGAGCAGCTCCGATGCAAAAAGAGGCTGGATTGAGCCTCCTTTACTCGGGCTGTTTTACCTGATGGGAAGGTCTTTACCTTGTAGAATTTCTCTCTGATATGGGACCGGATGCAGTGGATAGGCACCACGTGTAGAACTAGGTCGGTTGTCTTTGAGAAGCCTCAGAATACGGCGAAGAACTTTCGGCTGGATTTCAACTGTCCTTAACGGGATGTTCGTCACTCGATAAATATTTTAGAGAAATCCGTGTAATTCTGGGAATATCAAGCTGTTAGTTGTGAGGTGAGTTCAAAATCACCCGTTTAGGAAGGCGTTTTATGACTCCGGAGATCTTCAGAGTGCGTTCACTAGGCCTGCAGCCACGGAGCGAGGGGCACTCATCACAGGCGTAGACGGACGTGAGTCTCGTTTGCTTCCAAGCAAAGCAAGGTAGCCTCCTTCAAGTAACTGATAAGGTGCTAGACGTTTTATTCAAGATAATTCGAACGACCTCATTAAGCATCAACTATCTCAAGGGGTATGACTTGTGCAAGAGTTGCCATGCTAACTCCTCCGTGAATATAAATTTCGTTGGAGGCTCTACGCACTTGCGTCTCTGCAAGATTTGGTGTGGCGGGTCAAGTGAAGCAGAATAAAAGCTGCATAGGGTTACATATGGACGTCAGGTGTTGCTACTGAGCACGTGATGTGTTTATTTGCTTTACCCACATTCAAATGTATGCGTACGGATACCACTGAAGCGGACGAACTTGTGTGGTTGGGAGAGAAATCTCAAGGAGAGACCCATATGATGCAGCTCCTTCAAAGAAGGGAAATGACCAGTTTACGAGTATTCGAGAGGTTTATGGGGCAGAAAGGCTACACATTCGTTTCGGACATCGTGAAGCCATGGGCAATAACTAAGATATTGCCGGGTATTACTTATGAGGCCATTTTCGTTCATTAGCCTTCTTTAGGGATAGCTTGTATAGGGCCTTCTCAATTTTTGTCTTCACGCCTGATCAGCAACAAATCCGGTGCCAGCGCAACACTTTATTTGATGGGTGCCACTGAGATAAAAATGGAACTCAATCTGAAGCTAGGGAGCCGGGAAATGGGTACTCATGCGATAAGTTCACATAAAGCTGGAAAGCACCGGTGACCGCCATGCGACAATAACCCTGGGCTTGTTTTGACGTGGTCATTGACCGGACAGATTGGAGAAGTTTTCCTGTCGTCATAATGAGTGAGAATTACATTTTACAGCCATATCTGCGCACATGATACAATTAGTCGTCTTCAGGGATTGAATCCATATTGTTGGTCCCAGTTTATTAGGGAAATTGCAACAGGGAGATAAAGTAGGCGTGGGGTGGCAAGCTTGAGGATAAACGTCCCAACAGGTTGTCGAGATCAGATGGATTGAGCACTTGACGCAAAAATATCGGCGAGGCGTCAGAGAATCAACGGAAACCACTGGATATCGCGAAACAAATAAATGAATATTCTACAATAATTCGAGCTCCCCAATATTCGTTTCCTGGCTGTGAAATTTCGGTGACATGTCTTTCCTTTCCGGGTAAGATTCTGAACGACCGTTGTTCACTTGGATCCATGAGATTTTTATTCTTATTGTCGGGTTAAAATGATACTCTACTTACTTAGACATTTATTTATGGGAATCTTCGCGCTGGCAAGCATACTGCCTCGTGCTGAGGACATGAAGAGGAGTGTTGCACACTTTTTCACTTTTGCCTTTCAGGCAACCGCTGAACGACAAGAATAAGACTGACCCAGAAAACTTGGGCGAAAGCCTCGATCCGTGAATCCGTGAGTGCGTGAAAACCAACAGCAATTAAAACTAATTGTCAGCGCGTAAAAACGCACAAGCGCGCCCTTTGAATTATAATGACTCCAGGATGACGAAAGAAAGTGATGGCTGTCTCCCTGATGTTGAACATGAGGACGTCGTCTCACAAAGCATTCGAAATGACTTTCAAGGATTAATGCATGAAAGGGCCGCAGATTCAGCAACCCAGAAACAAGCGAAGAGTGAGTCGCATATCATTATCCACATTTCCATTAGCCATCGCGCATTTTCTGAATAATCCATCGGTCATTCTGCATAGCTTCCGGTTATTCCCCCACAAATCTGAGTGTTTTTAACAAAAGTCTCTCGAGTACTTGTGTTTAAAATCTTTTTCGAGACCACCGAGATATTGAACGGTGCGGCGGTTACATGGACGCTCAGCATTTGCTCTCATTGAAATCAAATTGATGCTTTGTCGCGGCGACCTGTCGGAAGTCAATAAAATACCCCAGATGTTATCGGCTTCCAGGCCCGTGCGTTGCTTGTCCCGTGCTGCATCTTCTGGTGCGGGTTCCGAACCAGTTTACCGAGCCAGACAAATGCCACGCTTGTTGGATCTACTTGATTACAACACGATTCAGTGTATAGTTCCGGCCAACCATAAGAATACTTTACACCCTATGTCCTAGAAAGAGTACAACCTAAGGCTGTGGTTTAACTATATCTAAGTGGCAAATAAAAGCAACGAACGTGCCGCAAGCAGCGAGTGTGGTGCACGGTCGAAAGGCTGACTTTCAGTAAATCAATTGTCAACAAAGTGGATCATTCAAAGTAGAAAACAGGTGCGGACGTCAAATTTTCAGTGGTTCGCGGGTTCCTCGCTGACCATGTAAAGCATTCTGCTTTGAAATATGCCATATCGGATTTCAGTAACGCGCAGGTGGGAAAAAATCAGCATGGCCCGAATGATTTGGTGAGGGTTGTCTTGAATATTTTGGACGGCTCAGCATGGTTTCTTATTTTGTCACAGTTGTTCAGATTATCACAGCAAAACCATCGAGAAGTCCGGTGGATTTTTCTTCATGATGCAGTCCAGTTGCACGTTCACCCAGTGCATAGGTGTGGGTAGCAAAGGGGATGGCTCAGCGGTTAGAGCGCAGATTTCCTTACCGGTTCGAACCCGAACACTGCATCCTGACTTTCCCTGAATGGGCTTGGCAACCTAGCATTATCCCAGCCGTCTTACTCCGGTTAGTTGTCAGCTAGGCACCGGAAGGGTGTTACAGCTTAACGATTATCTTGTTATTACACTTGTTAGCCAGTGTTTTGCCTTGTTTATCTAATGGTGAAGCCTGCTTGCTTAGGTTAACCTCAATAGACTTCGCGAATTTACGGCCTCGGTTGAACGGAACCAAATGAGAGCTGATGAAGTTCGCATTGCGTAAACAGCATTGATCTGAGACCCATGTTCTGAAAGTTGTGTCGTGACTCGGTCTCAGAAAAAAGAGTCATCCTGAATTTTGAATAATTTTATATTCATTGTTTTTAAAATCGGAGTGTTTTCGCTGCGGTCTCCATGATGTTTTCAAAATTTAACAGTGGGCTTCACATATCCTACATCGAGCACTTCATATTTTTCTGCGTCGCAATACAAGCAAAGGTATAATCTGTGATCCTCCTTAATGAGCTGCACAATAATTCCCGCGAAACCGTAAAGAATTACCTCTCGCCTGAGTTCACCAGATCAGTAGTGCCGAAGTACGTCGAATGGTTTTCGGAAGAAAACTCGCTCTCGATAGATGGACTGATCGTATTCCATGGGTTGCGCTGACTTGGCCACGTGCTCCGCATGCCAGTTGACCGACTTCCTCGAAGGGCTCTTTTCGCACAACCACGTGAAGGGTGGAAGTGAGCCAGAGCAGTTCAAACAATGACTTGGCAGTGAAGTATGAAAGCCATTACGAGCAACCTCAATAGCCCTGGTCATTGCCGTCTCCCTGGACGGAGATCCCAAAACAGACCACGTCAATGGTGAGGGACATTGTCATATACGCCCCAGTCACGTTCTCAATGGCGCGCATACATCCAAGCCATTGCATGCACTGTATAGCTCCCCTCCCAATCGCCCGGACATACCGGTGTTTACTCAGCACTTATACCAGCTGCGGCATCGGATGCCAGCCAAAATTGCTGTACAACAAGTATGCGGTTCTCCCCGCTGCTGATGATGATGACGATGGTGATGGGACGCGAGTCTGTGGGAGATCACTGCTTAGCTGATTGTGAATAGTCGTACACTTTTGAGAACAGTGGTCCCGAAGGAAAGTTTAAGCTGTTTTGTTTGGACTATTCCACCTTAACTATCCAAACAACGTCCTTAAGACAAGTAGCTTGATGAACGATGATCCGCCGATACTATGGTAACTGCTTCACTGAAGTTGCCTTTCATCCCACTTCCACATTCTTTCGGTCTGCCAGCGCGCGTGCGCCCTTTTAATCATTCATATGAAGTTTCAGTCTCCCGTTGCCGAGCAAAGCTATTTTCGTTCCTCATTCCCCTCCGGAACTACATGTTTTTGGAACACTCCTTTACTTAATTTTTTCCTAACCTCTTGTAATCTTCAACTTTTGAAAACAAGTTAATGTTAATCTGTTCGGACCTATATTATTCCCCACAGTTGCGCTGTTTACTACCCACGAAAGTAGTTTTCACAGGTTATTTCGTAATTTTAATCAACTCGGTATCTTTCAATCTTATATGTGATCGCTGACCGTTTGTTCCCCTTTCCCTTGTTAACAATTTTTGAATGGCGAAATAACACCAGTGTTCCCAGTCTCTGTTGAGCTCCTTCAGTTATTTCGCAAGAGCCTAAATGACACCACAGTACGATCACGTAACAAGACTATGGATTATGCACCTCTGATCCAGTGAGATATAGTGGGGATACCTACCCATCCAGTTGATCAGTTTCTTCCTCTTCGAAGTTCCCACATTTGAACTGCTCCGTATTGTATTGTGGCAATTTCACGTTTATCCTGCAAATGAGAATACCGTCATGCCTCATCGACCGTCGTGTGCTTCCATCGGCTGTCACTCTACTTTCATGCAGCAGAGAAGTTGAGGGAAAACAGGCCACTGATGATGCCTCCCTTCTTCCTCTCTCACACTTTCTCCTCCCACAGCCCATTATTAACTCTCGTCTTGCTTGCCGTAATTACACGCCACCATTCACATCTGTTTCTTCATGCCTGCTATTCAATGCCTCTCTCATATTATCGCGATCTCAACTTCCCAAATCTTGGGCAATTGGTCAGTGTTTGCGCACACCGTTGATGGCTTATTGATAGACGTTTGATACATTTCTGAGATCCAGCTAAGCTTTTTGCATCGTCACTGTCCTGAATTCAGTCGTCATCATCATCGACAGCATGACATCAGTGTTCAACACTGATGTTTCACTGCCGGACTTTGTGTAATTCCTCAACGGTTTCACTTGAATGCGCAGTTGTCCGTTCAACTCTTAGGAATTGTCAAGTCGGCCCAAACACCCCAGGCTGTTTGCAGGCCTACTGAAACCAGCGTAAAGAAACAGACTGTGCAATTACGTCAACAAACTGATATACCGACTGTGCGTCAACTGCACTGTAGTGAATAGAGGTAAAGCTGTTCCTGGAATCTTTGCCGACCGTTGAGGAAATACGACTTCCTGCGGAAAGGCAGGAGAGTTGGACGAGACATGCTTGCATCAGGACTACTCAAGTACGGTGGCCGACTTTGAAGGGCGCACTTCTTCATTTAACCGCAATCGGATGAAAGTAGGTTCTACCTAAATTCAAGACCACTCTACGAAGGAAAACAAAGCAAGACTTCACTTGACAGCTACACAGGTATAGCCTGCTGAATCATGCCAGTAACGTCATGAGTGGTCTATTTGAGTTTGGGGCTGGTTCTGGTTAGGGATGGTTCCCTCTATTCGGGAAATCGCAACTGCGAATGAACAGTCTGTCATTAGCACAGAACTGCAGCAGGCGTTCTTTAGCTGGATGCTCCGTGTCTAATCCAAGACGACTACTCAGTTCAACCCCAGCAGCTCTATGCCTACGTCTGTTAGGTTCATATAAGCGACCTGAACCATGTCTGAGCTTTTATTCCGTTGTCTTGGGTATAATCAGACATATAGTCCATGAGGGGTCCAATGCGGCACGATACAGATGGAACCACGAGCCTCACCTTATCGACCTCACAAACTTCTCGCGGGTCTAGCCAAAAACAGCTTAGAGGTAACTACCTCTGAGTGTCCATTCACGTGGCTACGCTTCCGCTCGATAACGAGATATAACACTCACCCAGGGCATATCCATTTGCAGTGGCCTCTGTATCACCAGAGGGGGGCTGCCGTAGGGAGTTGCGTTCTTGCTGTCCGTTTCTTTCCAGATTGACTGACAGCGCTTGGAAGTGTAGACAGCTCAGAATGCCCAAAATAGGCCAGCACCAAGTCCCCTCCCTCATCCACTATCTTCTGTTCATTTCATTGTAAGGCTTGAAATATGATAAGATAAACTTTATGGTTGCACAGCAGTGAAGCATCAGCGTCAACACTGATGTCTCCGATGATGATGGGTCATCTTCATCGGGACACAAGTACCGTATTTGACTGACCACCCAGTCGCTCTATTCCTGCATACAACGTCATCATCATCAGAGACACCAACATCATTGTTGACGCTCATGCCTTACTGCTGTACAAACACAAAGTTCATCTAATTATATTTAAAACCTTGGAGTGAAAAGAAGAGAAAAAAGGGTGGGTGTCCTATGTCAAGTATTTTGAGTTGCCTACACCTTCAAATACTCAGTCGGACAATCTGGAAAGCGACTAACAGAACGGAAGCCACTGACATCGATCAGCTACCATTTCTTGCAATGTCTCCAGCCAAACGCAGACAAAACCGCACCCCATCTTGCAAGGCATACGACACCAACAACACCCAACCTCTTCGTAATCCCTCCCACACCCTTCTCCCAAGTTATACTTTGTCCACCTCGCGATTTGTGCTATTCTGAAGCGGACACGGAGAACAACACTCTGTTCGGTAGTCGGTGTTTCGGTGTGCGTGTCACGTGACCGAATCGTCGCGGTTGATGGTGCTGGATGTTTTCCGTGATTGATGTAACTGCTGCACAACCAAATACCCATTTTCTGATCGCCTTGTTACTAACGCGTTGACCTTATTCAGAACC